CTCAAGAGGACGAATGGCCTGATAAAGTACACAGCATCGCCGGCAAGAAAACCTTAAAGAAAAAAAAAAAAAGACAAGCCCTAACTGGTTTGGCTCAGTGGATAGAGCATCGGCCTGCAGACTGAAGGGTCCCAGGTTCCATTCCGGCCAAGGGCATGTACCTGGGGTGCAGGCACATCCCTGGTGGGGAGTGTGCAGGAGGCAGCTGATCGATGTTTCTCTCTCATCGATGTTTCTAACTCTCTATCCCTCTCCCTTCCTCTCTGTAAACGATCAATAAAATATATTAAGAAAAAAAAAAGACAAGCCTGAATTTAATCAAGTCTTTTAGAGCTTTAGAGGGAATAATGGGACTTCACTAGAGGAACAAGTTAAATAACACGAGGACACAACAGATAAACCCCGTGAGATGGCTTACAGGAATCCATAGACAAACTGTTAACAGTGAACAAAAGATGCCAGCAACACTGCTGAATCCAAGATCAGTAAAAATCAATCACATTTGACTATTCTAATCAGAAGATGAAAATGTTTAATAAGGATCCCATTCCAGGTAGCTATAAAAATAAAGTATCTGGGATACATATGACAAAAAGATGTACAGGACTTTTATAAAGAAAGCCATAAAACTTTGCCGAAAAACAATAAAGACTGAAATCAGTGGAGATCCTATGTTAACGACTGTAAAGTTCAGTCATAAGTCATGTTTTCTCAAATTAATCTATAAATTCAATGCAACTTGAAGAAGAAAAAAATCAGTAAGGGCATTTTATGGAACTTGCCAACCCCACCTTAAAAATGTACAGCTTCCTCTTGATTTCATTGTAAATGTAAAACTGCCTTAAAAAACAGTATTTAAAGTAAAAAAAAAAAAAATCCGGGAATAGAACAAGCAATTTTGAACTTGCCCTAGTAGGTAGATATTTTTAAAAATCAAGTATAGAGCCGAAACCGGTTTGGCTCAGTGGATAGAGCATCGGTCTGTGGACTAAAAGGTCCCAGGTTCGATTCCGGTCAAGGGCATGTACCTGGGTTGCGGGCACATCCCCAGTCGGGGGCGTGCAGGAGGCAGCTGATCGATGTTTCTCTCTCATCGATGTTTCTAACTCTCTATCTCTCTCTGTAAAAAATCAATAAAATATATATTTAAAAAAAATAAAAATCAAGTATAGAAAAATAGCCCAAGAAGATAGCCAGCACCAGACCCATGCATACAAAAACTTGGTAAAAGATAGAGGCAACCCTGTCTATCAGAAGAGCAAGGAGTCACTTGCTGAAGCAATAAATGAGGTGGTATGAGGAACTTACCCAGAAAAATTTAAGGTAGAATCAAGTACTTAGATATAAGATGCAAATCTTTCAACATTTTAGAAAACAGAGAACATCTCTGACCTTGAGGTAACCAGTGAAGCAAAGTTAAAACATAAATCACAAGACTGCGAAAAAGTATTTCCAAGGCATATTACTAACAAAGGATAATATCCATAATATGTTGAGGACTCTCAAATGCAGAAGACCTCAACACCAAAAAAGAAAAAAAAAAGGATATAAACAAACAACTCACAGATGTGTGGAAGCCTAAAAGGTCAACATACAAATGAAAAGGCGATCAGGCCCACTGGAAATATAAAATAAGGAAAGACCACTTCAGTTCACATTGGCAAAAGTTGAACTAATATTAAGTACAAGAGAAGTGTGGGGGATTAGGCACTTGGCTACACTGCTGATGAGAAGATGAACTAGTTCTACCACTTTGGAGACCCGTTTGGAAATATTTAGGTACGCTGAAATTGCACATACCCTCCGACCCACTAATTTTATTTTGAGTACACACTCAACACATAAACCCTTGCACATGAGCACGAGATGTTGAAATGTTTGTTCACTGTAACATTGGTTGAAATGGTCAAAAAGAAAACCACATTAAAATTTTCCTATCAGCAGGGCAACAAGAATTGTGGCATATTCGTACAACGGAATACCAAACAGTACTTAAAAGGAATGAATTAGATTTCCATGCATCAGATACATTTCAAAATACTTAGGGAAAAAGCAATCTGTGAAAGGATACATATAGCACAACTACCATGTAATTTGTTTATAGACACACCTGTATATGAACCTTAAAGCAAATATAGCAAATGTTATGATTTACTAAAGCTGGTGGTGTTGCCCAGCTGGCATGGCTCAGTGGTCGAGTCACGGTTCGATTCCTGTTCAGGGCTCATGTTCAGGGTTGTGGGCTCGATCCCCAGTAGGGGGCATACAGGAAGCAGCTGATCAATGATTCTCATTATGTTTCTCTCTCTCTCCTCTCCCTTCCTCTATGAAATCTATATATATATATATTTTTTTTAAATTAAAAAAGTAAAGCTGGGTGTATTTACAACAGAAATTATCCTCTGAGGTACTTTCAGTGCCTGACCTATTTTTTGTTAATCCTCACCAGAGGGTATTTTTTTCATAGCTGTTTAGAGAGAGAAAGCAGGGAGGGATGTGGGAGGAGAGAGAGAAACAGTGATGTGAAAGAGACACATCAATTGGTTGCCTCCTGCACATGCCCCCAGCAGGGCCAGGGATCAAACCTGTAACTCACGTACATGACCTTGTCCAAGAATCAAACCCAAGACCCTTTGGTGTGTGGGCCAACGCTCTAACCACTGAGAAACCAGCCAGGGCAGTGCCTGACCTATTTTAAAAATTAAAAATAAAGGTAGCCAAATGCAAAGATATCGGAGGGAAAACAATACTTCCCACCTTTTAGTAAGCCAACTTTTTATGATACACATTATTTGTAGAATTATAATTCAGTAAAAAATAAAACTTGGGCCCAGACAGGGTGGCCCAGTGGTTGATCATCAGCCTATGAACCAGGAGGTTTGATTCTCGGTCAGGCCCTGGGTTGTGGGCTCAATCCCCAGTGTGGGGTATGCAGGAGGCAGCCAATCAATGATTCTCTCTCATTGATTTTTTTCTCTCTCTCCCTTCATCGCTGAAATCATCTCTGAAATCAATAAATATATATTTAAAAAATATAAACTGAGTTTTTCTATTTTAAAATGTTTTTGGATAGTCAGGCCCACAAAAAATGACTTAAATTGGGAATTTTATTTTTCCTAGCTGGGGCACAATCCTTACATACCCTATGACAGACACTCTTGATCCCCAATCCAATGGCCCTTTCTCTTGCCTCCAGAACCAATTTTGTCCAGGTTCAAAGGGTTTCCACAACCTAAGGGGAGGAATCTTGATTCTTTTAAGGCAATTACAGTAATTCCATTCTCTCTGTGCATGGGACAACCCTCAACCAAACAATCACGGCCAGGGCAGGAATTCCATTCTCTGTGCCAAGAAGTGATTTAGAAATGGGCATTTAATGTCTTGTAGTAATCAAGTAGGTAAAGTGCACCCAGGCGCCTCTGTGAAAAAGGAACACCTTGCCCTAACTGGTTTGGCTCGGTGGATAGAGCGTCGGCCTGCGGACTGAAGGGTCGCAGGTTCGATTCCGGTCAAGGGCGTGTGCCTTGGTTGCGGGCACATCCCCGGTGGGGAGTGTGCAGGAGGCAGCTGGTCGATGTTTCTCTCTCATCGATGTTTCTAACTCTCTATCTCTCTCCTTTCCTCTCTGTAAAAAGTCAATAAAATAAATTTTTTAAAAAAAATAAGGAACACCTTAGAGTGCAAGCTGGGTCGGCGTAGCCATGGTGGCTCGTGTCCTTTCCTCCTGTGTCCGCCGCCTGCCCGCGGCTGGCAGCCCAAGAGAAGGGGACCAAGTGGAGATTATCATGGCCGTGGAGGATGAATGTGGATTTGAAATTCCTGATATAGATGCGGAGAAGTTGATGTGTCCACAAGAAATTGTAGATTACATTGCAGATAAGAAGGATGTATATGAATAAAGTATCAGACCCCTTTTCTTCACCAAGAAGATAGAGGCGAGTGTCTGGCCGAGAAAACCAGTTTTGGCATCATTGCTGACATCAACAGAGCAATTCTGTTTAAACTTGTATTTAAATTGTCTAAGTTTTTGTGCCCTTTGAAAATAAATCTATAAAACAAAACAAACAAAAAAAATAAGGAACACCTTAGAGAGACACAGAATAATACACAATCTCTCCTCTTCTGGTCTTTGGACATTGTTGTGCATGTAGATGCCTGGAAATGTTGCCACAGCCTTGCTACACCAAAAAGGGTCCATCCTTGGGGGGTGGGAATGGCTGGGGAGAGGTGAAACGGGGGGAGAGGCGGGGACATGTAACACCTTAAGTAAAGAATTTAAATTTAAAAAAAAAGTCCATCCTGAGGACCAAAACTTGCAGCAGAAAATGGGTGGGCAGAAAAACATGGAAAGAACGAACCTGGGTCCCTGCGCACACCGCTGAGCTGCCGAATTCACCAGTCTCAGAATTGTCCTGCCCCGACTTCTTGTGAAATCTATTTTTCTTTACTGTTTAAGACCCATTTAATTGCTCTTTAACAAAACAAAACACAAAACTCTGAAGAATGCACAAATTCCAGTGAGTTCTTGATGACTATAAAGACCTTGTTATTCTCAAACTGGAGGCAGAGATTTTGCAAACTACACAAATAGTTGTAGCTGTACAGATGCACCCTAGTTCTGCGTCACGCTTTCCTAACCATCGAACGGTCCGAAGGAGAATGTGCCGATTTGCTTTTTTGCATTGGTAGCCATGTTGAGAAATGTGATGAGTCTGTATTTGCTTCTTTGGTAGGATTTAAAGGCTGTAACATTCCTTTATAACTCTTCACCCTTAGCTCCCTAAAACTCTTCTTTGAATGTGAATGTGTTTTCCAACTTTCCAACAAAGAGGCCAAGCCCATGGTAGGAACCGGGTGTGTTTCTTTTCTACTTGTGCCCCACCTCTGTGCAGACCCACTCACTTGTACCATGAGTGAGTGTACAGGTGCCAACTCCTACAACTCTGGAGAAAGCTTTCTTCTAAATGCCACCCTTCTGTAATAATTAAACAAGTACAAAGTTAGGGACAATAAGATGGATTTATTTAAAAAGAAGACTACAAAATTTGACATGAAGAGAGATAAAAAAGACCCAAAGAATTTTAATTGATAAATACAAAAATGATTGGCTATAAACAATGTAAAAATACATTTCCCAGTCCCAAAACAGAATATAAGTACAGCAATTATAAAATTGTTATGTTGTAAGCATTTCCCTTATGATTTTTAAAAACCATTCTAAACAGTTTATTTGTATAAAATATAACAATTTTATCATAGCTGTTAATTTTTAACCTTGAGTTTACTGAGTCTGCCTTTTCCTGTACGTAACCGTGGTTTTGGTCTCAAGTTCTCCTTGAACTTTGTTATTTACCACAATGGTCTTTTTACTCCTAATTTCTTCTACAATAGAAGAGGGAGGCTAATCAGTTGTAAGTCCCATAAAAATCAATGTGAGGAAAGGTTCCAGAGAGACCAAAAATGCCAGTGAATATATTATCCTTCTGAAAAGGCAAAGATTAAGTGGTCCCATGCCAAGAAAACAAACAGAAGTGAACCGTCAGAACAACCAGGGCTTAAGCTCATGCCAGCTCTATGTGTGAAGCCAGCTGAGGACAAGGCCACCAAACCCAATGCAGGGGTGGGGACCCCGAGGTAGTGCAGATGGTTTGCTGTCAACTCTAGCTGGATTGAGGTGATATTTACAATGGCAATGGTACAGTAGTTTGATGTGAAATTCCAGAACTTGCCTATCATAAGCTGGCTATTTTTGAACCAGTCTTTATTCTTGAGCCCAAGCCCCGGCTATTTCTCCTCCCTTAGATGGCACGCCCAGTAACATCAGCATCCATGACTGGTTTCCTTATCTCCCAAGCAGGTATTGGTGACGTCGCCACTCGCACTAGCATCCAAACTCTGGTTCAAATAGTAAGTCCTCAGTCACTAAGCCAGAACAGAAGCTGTGCCTGGCCGTCAGGACTAATTTTTGAGAGCCACATTAGCCACATTGATGTAGCTAAAACCTGTCTACAACAGGCAGATGAGAAGTTAAGAAAGGATGGGATCATTAAACTGCCTCATTGGAAACACGATTCCACTTTTTCAGACAGAAAACCTAGGATGCCTAGCCGGGGGGCCCTCCACCAAAGTCCTTCAGGACCTGACGCACAGTTCAGCACCTTAACACCAAAGTCTTGAGTCAAAAATCTAGGAGGAGGACAAGAAAGATCTAGTCTGGGACCCAACAGCCGACAATTCTTCCTGATTATCAGAACTGGTTATGAAGTGTCTCTTGAGAATAGTAAGACTACTCCCTACACCATCAACGGTATTAACCTAGGCAAGATTTGCTAGATGTTCACTTTAAGGTCTCCTCCAAAGGGAAAACAGAGCAGTGCCTCTGTGGGAACAAAACCCTAAGGACCGTGCGAACACGCTAGGCAACAAAAGAGCCCAAGATCCTGGGCCCTCGAAAGGCACTGCCAACAAGGAAGAGCCAGAGGCCCACCTCTGCTTGACGGGGAAGCAGTGTGCAGACCACCCTGGTCCGGAGACAGAAATGCAAGCATCTCAGACAGATGGAAAATCGCAGGCTGGGGTTTTAAAACGGAAACTGGCTCCACAGAACACACCGAGGAGGACCTGCAGAGCCGCTTCGATTTCAGTAGAAATAATCATGTGCCAATAGGAGAATGAACCCTCTCTCACAGTATGAACTCACCTCTGCAGACACTTGGTGAGTGGCTGAAGCCTGCTCTTATAATTTCACTGTATTGCACAAAGAGTATGCCTTTATCATCTTTGGTCCTTAGGTGTGATATCAGTTTATTCCATTTTTCTATGTGTTACATAAAAATCTTTTTTTTCCCCGCTTGATATCAATAACCACCAAAGTGCAGTATAAATATTGGGTTATACATATAAAATACCAACATCTCCCATACGCTATTAGGCAACAGAAGAGCTTATAACAATTGTCTTAAAATGTTACAATATAATTTTAAGGCCAAGGAAGATACAGTAAAGCCTAAGTATTATATTTTAAGGAAAAAACCTAGACCAATATTTAAAATTTAAATATACATTAAATTTTATCTAATCATCAAAAAACAACCTCATAGTGAAGCAAATTAACTTAAAAATGAAGTAATATCTAAATGGATTAACTTAATCATGCTGTTTATATAGCTATAAAGAATCATTTGAAAGCTAAGCCTAGTAACAATAACAGAATAATTTATCAGTGAGCTGTGATTTAAAGAAACTGCCCTCCCCACCCCACCCCCAAAAATAATAGACTGCATAATACAAGTTTCAAATGTTATAAAAAAAAAAAACAAAAACCCTGGCCTAACTTGTGGTGACTAACATACTGTCCAATATTGACAACATTGCCTCCTGACGCTTCCCCTTGCTCTTCAAAAGTGGTTTAGCAATTACACAGATAGTACACGTGCTTCTGCCCGGGCTCAGATACCACGCAGTTGCTGCCTTCCGTAACGCCTGCTCCCTCAAGTCTTTAAGCATTAAGTGGTTCAGTGAGGGCCTCTGCCCTAACAGTGGCCTCAGGTTTTCTCTTCTGGGACTCCTGTCGCTTCTCATACGCCATAATGGCAAAGTCAGCCAGGAACATAAAACTTGCTAGAAATCCAAACACCTGAGGAGGAAAAAGTGGCAAAAATTAGATGAGGAATTTTATAATATTCTCTCACATTTCCTACTTGGCTTTGAGAGAGTTTCATACGAGCAAGATGATTTCATCAATTTTATCTTAACTTCAATGGTAAAGAAATGTTGAAGGCCACCAAAAAATGGAAAGAAGTTACCAAAAAAATAAAATTCCAGAATGATAGCTATTAGTCAAAACCTCACAAATGTCCTGTCTTACAAAGTACATGTTCACTTGTGGGGTGCCAATCTATGAAACTAAAGTTAACCAGGGGCAGAGCCAATCCTATAAAATGATACAAACACGGGATTATCAGTAATAGTTAAATGGACCCACAGATGAGATAAAGGACATATGTGAGTAGGCAGCTGAGCCTAGGTAAAAATGGAAAAAGTTATTAATGACAAAAAAAACCCAGAAATTCTATTTTGAAGAAATAGAATTATCTAAAAAATATATTTTCCAGTTATTTGTCACACTCTAATGACACAGCAACATGATGCCACTATTTACTTCCTCTTCCTTAAACCACATCCTCATTATTGTACTTCTCGGATCGACATTCCGAGAATTCTGTCAAGAAACAGAAGACCTGGTTCCAATTTAGCTCTTCACTAGCAAAACCACGAGGGAAATGGGAGCCAAAGTGCTCTATAAGAACGAGAAAATTGGCACAGGTAATGGCTAACGTCCCTTCCAACCCTAGCACCCCATCTCCATGTGCTCTTCTCGCCTGATGGCATCTGCCCCCTCACTGGACTGGCTGATGCAGGACTAAAGGCAGACAGATGTCACTTTGTCTGTGAGGCCATCCCTGATCCCGGAGAGCTCCTGTCCATGCAGGGCCCTCTATGCAGTAGCTTCCAGGTAGGTGACCTTCCAGCTCTTTTGCTGACATAATTCACACACACAAAATTTTTAATGGATTCCCTCATTCATTTAATTCTACAAAATGTTTCAGAATTTAAATAGTGCAAAAGGTAATTTTCAGCACATTAAAAATAATGAGTTTTTAAACTGCCAGTCACTCTTAATCCAATGAAATCTAAATAATGTAACAAGCTGACATATCATCTAATTTAAATAAGTAAGCTCATTTTTAATAGCTGGGAATTTTATGCCATGCTTTTCCCCCCTAAACTCAACTTTTCCTCAACTTCCATTTCACTTCCTCCACAGGATTTATAGTAACATATTTCTATACTTGAAAATATTTTCTTGACCATCCTATCATCTTCCTCCGCTACAAAAATCTACACTAATAAAAGAGAAACATGGTAATTGGCGTATGACCGCTACCCTTTTCATTGGCTAATCAGGGTGATATGCAAATTAACTGCCAACAAAGATGGTGGTTAATTTGCATATGTAGGCACAATGCAGGGAAGTGAAAGGGAAAGCAGGAAAAAGCCCCCTGCCACTGACAGTGATAGGAAACCCAGGAGGGAGCTAAGAGCTGGGTTCCATGATCAGAGAATCAGGTGCCTTTTCCACCCTGGCCAGTGACAGCAGGAAGTAGGGGTGGAGCCAGCGATGGGAGTTGGGCACGGTCAAAGCTGGCAGTCCCAGGAGCTAAGGGTCCCTTGCCTGGGCCTAAAGCAAAGCCCACAATCGCGAGGCCACTGCAGCTGCGGGTCCCCACTGCCCGGGCCGGACGCCTCAGCCAGAGGCATCCTGCAGGGGCAGGGGCGGAGCCTGTGTGATTGCGCCTCCCGCTGCCCGGGCCAAACGCCTAGGCCAGAGGCGTTAGGCCCGGGCCGGATGGGGGTTGACGCCTCTGGCCAAGTCATCAGGCCTGGGCAAGAGCGGAGCCGGTGATGGGGGGAGAGGGAGGTCCCCTACCCAGACCTGAATCCTGGGCCAGAGGCATCAGTCCTGGGCCAGGGGCAGAGCCAGCAATCGGAAGGGTCTGGGGGTCCCCTGCCCAGGCCTGCCGCCTGGGCCAGAGGCATCAGGCCTGGGCTGGGGGCAGAACCAGTGATGGGGGGAAATGAGGGTCCCCTGCCCAGGCCTGACACCTCTAGCAGAGGTGTCAGGCCTGGGCAAGGGGCTGATCCTGCGATTGGAGGGTTATGGGGGTCAACGCCTGAGGGCTCCCAGTATGTGAGAGGGTGCAGGCTGGGCTGAGGGACACCACCCCCCAGTGCACGAATTTCGTGCACCGGGCCCCTAGTATGTATATAAACTGAAATTGGCCATAAGGCTCTATTAAAACATTTGGTTTTCTCTTTAATTGGCTCATGTCTTCATGGATAAATAATTTTTTTTAAATATATTTTATTGATTTTTTACAGAGAGGAAGGGAGAGAGATAGTTAGAAACATCGATGAGAGAGAAACATCGATCAGCTGCCTCCTGCACATCCCCCGCTGGGGATGTGCCCGCAACCAAGATACATGCTCTCTGAAGGTATTGTGGAATAAAGTTTATGTACAGCAATCCCTTTCTAAAGTCTAAAATATTCTGAATCCTGAAAAAAATCTGCTTCCCCCTGCCAAGGATTTCATATAAAAATCTCTTTTATTAGACTCAACTTTTGGATTTCTCCTGTGCAGTCTCTACACCTGGCATGCAGATGTTTTTGTTGAACCAAAAAGTGGAGAATAAGATAATAAAGTCGATTCTACCACTTGCATTAGCAATAACATTCATATGTGGAGTAAATGGGTTTTTTATTAACAAAACTCAAGTTCTAAAGACAGGTTCTAGGCTCTTCAGGCTGTCATATTTAAAGCTATCATTATTTACTGTTAGGTCTCCTATTCAAAATTACAATAAAAAATAAGTTAAAAGACAAACTACTCTCCCATATTGTATAACCTGTCAAGTACTTTCCAGATTCCATATTTCTAATGAAATGAAAATAAGCAAAGATAAAAATACAAGGTACTTACAATTGCAGCAATTTCAGCTGAGGTTTGGTCATGCGTGGAAACGAAAATGATGGACGCCAACAAAAACACACATCCTATCCCCAAAGTAATGTAAAAATCCTATACATATATATAAAACACATAAGGAATACAGTAAGGTTAGGTTGATAGAAACAAATATTTTAGTTTTTTACTCTCAAAAAAGTTTAGAGATTTATTTTCCTTCACACAGCCCAAATTTACATACTTTGAGATTTCTAACTTTTCAATAAACACCCTGTAAAGGAACATCATATATGCTTTAGACAGGGCATATTCAGAGAATACGTTACAAAATAATCTTTTTATGAAACAGTTCCCCAATGGAGGGGTGTGTGTGTGTGTCCCTGAGTTTTACCTTGACCCCCTCGTAGGGATCGTGCAGGAGGCAGCCAATGGATGTTTCTCTCTCATCCATGGTTCTCTCTCTCTATTCCTTCCCTTCCTCTCTCTTTAAAATCAATTTTAAAAATTTATCAAAGCCAAAGGACTTATTAAATCCTATATCTTACTTCCAGCAAAAGAAAGCATTTTTCTTTCCTTTCAACATATTATGTGCTTGGACGGCCTGAGAGGACTTTGGTGCTTTGAAGCACTTTGGAAAAGAGAGAATCAAAAGAACTACCCGTCGTTAACTAAAATCATGTCAATAGTAGGTTTTTTAGCCACTTAAACTTTCTGTAATAACATATTGTTTTCCATTATTCCAAGTGGGTAGGTAATCCAAAAGGAGCTTGTATGATGGACTATCCACTACCATAAAAGCTTCCATATCTCATCACAATGAAGCTCACAACAATGGGCTTCTTCAGTGATTTCCAAGTGCTCTCTCAGCATCACCTCATAAGGCACTCTCTCTCTCATATGCCAACTGAAAACTGCTTGACATACATACTTGATTCAGAGGAGAAACGTAAATGATAACCACTCCAAAGTGCTTAAGTCTGATACTTTGAGTTTTCGGAAGGGCAATCTCCACTAAACCTAATATCGATAAAACTATCCAACAGAGAATTCTGATACCACTGTCAATTTGTTAACATTTATAAAAAATTAAAGAGGTTTTCTCTTTGCTTCTAAAAGAGGTGTTTTTCTGGGGCAGGGGGTAGAGGTGGGAACTAAGGGGTCAATGGGAGAAAAAGGGGGACATATGTAATACTTTAAACAATACAGTACTTTTAAAATACTTATAAAAATAAGAGGTGCCGAAACCGGTTTGGCTCAGTGGATAGAGCGTCGGCCTGCGGACTGAGGGGTCCCGGGTTCGATTCCGGTCAAGGGCATGTACCTGGGTTGCGGGCACATCCCCAGTAGGAGATGTGCAGGAGGCAGCTGATCGATGTTTCTCTCTCATCGATGTTTCTAACTCTCTATCTCTCTCCCTTCCTCTCTGTAAAAAATCAATAAAATATATAAAAAAAAATAATTAAAAAAAAAATAAGAGGTGTTTTTCTGCAGTTCTTTGTTACTTCTATCCCCTTGAATATTATTTCAAATCTACAAACATATATAAAACCCTATTCACTAATATTTGGATTACATTCAAGGAGGTATTTAAACAAGACAGTCATTTTGAGACAGAATAATGAACTATTCAATAAGCATGGGTTCTAGAGCCAGACTATCTAAGGTCAGATCCCAGTTACACTGCTTCCCAGCTATATGGCTTTGAATTAGTTACTTAACATCTGTGTGCCTTTGTTTTTTCATCTGCAAATGGAGGAAGTTACAGTATCTTCGTCAGTAGATGATTCTAAAGATTAGTGTTAATTCACTGGAAGTGCTTAGATCAGTGCCAGGCACATAGTGAATGTCCCATAGAAGCTGGCTATTGTTATTCTCCATAGAATCTGACCCACAATAGCATGGGATACAAAAAATTCTTTCTTGTAAAAGATTACCCTAACACCCTAGACACCACCACCACCCACTCAAAACGTTTTCTCTAGAACAGAAAACCTCCCTTACATAAAAATATATTTAAAGCCCTGACCGGTTTGGCTCAGTAGCTAGCGCGTCGGCCTGTGGACTGAAGGGTCCCAGGTTCGATTCCGGTCGGGAGCATGTGCCTTGGTTGCAGGCATGTCCCCAGCGGGGGGTGTGCAGGGGACAGCTGATGGATGTTTCTCTCTCATGGATGTTTCTAACTCTCTATACCTCTCCCTTCCTCTCTATAAAAAAAATCAATAAAACATATTTTTAAAAATAAAAAATATATATTTAAAATTTCAGTACATTAATATGCATACAGTAAAAATGATTTTTAAACCATTGAAGCAAACATGAAATCCTTACATAGTTAGGTAAAAATCAGAATGTATATAACTCAATGATTACCTATTAAATTTTGGAAAAGAGAGAATCAAAAGAACTACCCATCATTAACTAAATAATCATGTCAAGAGTAGGTTTTTTAGCCACTTAAACTTTCCGTAATAACGTATTTTAAATTTCAAAAATCACCTATTAAAAGAAACAAAAGACCCAAAAGATAGTAAAATATTTACAAAAGCTGTTTTAAGATAAAACAATTGAATTTTTTATTCCCTAAGGTTTTTAAGTCAGTATTTACTAGAAATAACTTTAATAATCACGTTTGATGTAATAAATATTTTACATTTAGTTTAGTTAGATCATTACACTAAATGGAAAACATATTGTTTCTTGTCAAAAAGATTAATGTTCTTAAATACTACTAATACAGCACTAAAGTAAAAACTGACATTTCTAAAAAGATTCTTATGGATAGTGAGACTGTTTTGCTGTTGAGAGATAAGAAATGAAAAAGATGTGGTGGGGGGGTGTTTCTGTTTTTATTGGTTATAGAGAGAGAGGGAGAGGGAGAGAGATAGAAAAATCAATGATGAGAAAATCATTGATCAGCTGCCTCCTGCATGTCCCCTACTGGCAATCGAGCTTGCAATGGGTCAGGGCACTTGACCAAGAATTAAACAGTGACCTCCTGGTTCATAGGCTGACACTCAACCACTGGGCTACACTGGTCGGGTGATGTTTTTAACCTTTAATGTTTAAAATATAGATTTATACAAACAGCAAATCAATCAGCTCAGATATCAGTGAACTTTTCTCTTGTCCAACTCTCATATCTGTACTAAACATATCATAAACAAAAATTCTAAGGTATTCTCTGCATCCTCTTTTTAATATGTATTTCATGAAATGAATGGTGCCGTTGTCATTGTTATATAGAAACTCCTGTGGTGATATCTGCCCTGAAAGCATCTAAAGTTCCTAGAGCCACCCTGGACGGATAGTTCAGTTGGTTAGAGCACCTTCCCAATCCAACAAGGTGTGGGTTCTATCCCTAGTCAGAGTACATACAAGAATTAACCAGTGAACTCATAAATAAGTGGAGCAACAAATCAGCATTTCTCTCTCTCTCAAAAAAAAAAAAAAGTCAAAAGAAAAGTCTCATTAAAAAAAAAAGGTGCTATGCTAGGTAGGGCCTTGGTTCTAGTAAGATTCTGCTTAGGCTACATAATGGAATGCAGAGTGTGAGAGCTTTACTGGGGTCAAATCTCAATTTATTTCTACTGTAGCTATGTAATTTTGGTCAAGTTGCTAAACCACCTGCACCTATTAGTAAGTTTCCTCAAAGTAAAATGGAACATTAAGGTGTGAGGACTCTAAACCACGTAGCATAGAAAGCGCCTGGCACTGACAGCAGCTACTATCAGGTAAGATGACAAAACAATCACAGACTGGCCATACCAAGAACTGTGTGTAGGAGCTCATCAAAGACTTGCTGGATTTGACTCAGACTCTACCTGTAGTTTTTCAAAGTTATTTTTTAACTGTTTGGCACAACTTTCTAAAAAAAATTAAATCTAAAATAATTATTTGAAAAGAAGGTAATAGACTCCTACGGTACAAAATACGAGATACAAAAAGGTATATAGAAAAAACTAAATATCTTAGGTGTATAATCAACATATGACCCAATGCTTGCTTCTCAGTAATTTAAACAAAAACATAATCATACCGCTTTGTATTTATTCTGTTATCTCTCTTTTTTTTAATATACTTTATTGATTTTTTACAGAGAGGAAGGGAGAGAGATAGAGTTAGAAACATCGATGAGAGAGAAACATCGATCAGCTGCCTCCTGCACATCTCCCACTGGGGATGTGCCCACAACCCAGGTACATGCCCTTGGAGGCAACTAATTGATGTTTTCTCTTTCTCTTTCTCTTTCTCTTCCTCTTTCTCTCTCTCTCTGAAATCAATAAAAATATTAATATTATATATATATATATATATGAATTAGGTTAAACCACCGGTCATTGTAAACTATGGGTAGTGTTTGTCACTTTCATTCTAATTTCACTTTCCCCTCCTATCATCCCATTTGGCAGGGAAAACTGAGTTCTCATGTTACTGAGTTTTGGACGCGTTACTACTTTGTAAAATAAAACTATACAAAGATTCCAAAACAGCTATGTTGTTAGTATAGAGATTATATGTTTCATGCTTACCGAGGACTTGACTTTTCCAGCATCGACTTTGTCATAAACCGGAGTGCAGTACACTATCAGCATAAGGAGACAAAGGAGAAAGGCACTGCTGCTTACAAATTCAAAAAAGTAAAGTCCTCCGCACAAAGTGCACTGTGATACGACTTCTTCACAGATAAAGGCCAGCAAAGACAGCAACTGCAAAAGAAACACATTTCACTTTAGGCAGTGGTTCTCCACCTTCCTAATGCCGCAACCCTTTAATACAGTTCCTCATGTTGTGGTGACCCCCAACCAACAAATTATTTTTGTTGCTACTTCATAACTGTAATTTTGCTACTGTTATGAATCGTCATGTAAATATCTGATATGCAGGATGTATTTTCATTGTTCGCGACCCACAGGTTGAGAACCACTGTAACACAGTCTAAAATTATTCCAAAAT